CGTAGTATTCCAACTCGTGTGGGTGGGTGAGTGACGGTTTAGAGCTCGTGACTAAAGGATTAGACCGTTTGACTTCCGATCAAAAGGTCACGCGTTCGAGTCTCGGGTGGTGCGCCACCTGGGTTTGGGTCGAACTGGCTGACGACGGCTAACTAGCCAGAAAGGGCCATTCCAGGCTCCTGCGTCTTTGCCTGCAATGCTATCTGCCTAGACTACTGTGTAAGTTCGACCATCGCAATCTATGCTGTCCACCATTTGCCAGAGAGCAGGGACGATGACTGCGGTCAGGTAAGTAGACGCGCCGCCATCCACCCCACTCTAAACTCTCTCCTCCACTTCAAACGGTGACAAGCCAAAGTCAAGATGACCGAACCTAGACTATTAGTCACTGTGCGGTTGCTGGCGGGGCTCGAGAATGAGCTCCAAGGCAGAGCGCGGGACAATTTCTGAACGTTAATCGAGTTTATTAAAGCCCGACCTAAACCAGCAAGACAGCGATCTAGTGGGTCACTGGTTAGAGCGTTAGGCTTTTGACCGAAAGGTCGCTGGTTGAAGCCTCGGGTGGTGCTTTTCTTCGGACTGGGTAGGACTGGCTCAGGAGCCAAAAATGGCTCTTCCTTGTCTTTTCCGGCAATGATGTCAGCCGAGGGGTTCACATGAAACAAAGCCAAACGAAGAAAAGTACAGGCGAGACAAATAGACCGAGACGTTAAAAGTTCATTAGCGGTGGCGGCGTGACAGGTGATCAAAAGGACTGAATTTACACGGTATACAGACGCTGCAACTCGTGCTGGGGTCGAGCGGAGTGACCTTGTAAACAGTAGCTGAAGGCTGTGAGCCACACCCAGCATGGTGACATCGTCAAAAAGCGCTCAACAGCCTGAGGGTGCGTTTGCACTTGTGCACAAAATAGTGGCAGACTTTAAGACACCAACAGCACACGCCATGAAGTGAATATTCTTATTTAACAATTTGCGCATGTCTCCCAACTTTCTACGGTTACCTATGATGAGGGAGTCTCGAGAGAATCCGAAACTTCAAAACAATACAATTTTTGATCCAGTGGGATAACCATGATAACCATATGAGGGCTGTACGCGGACTATTCCAGAGACATCTGAGGTTAGAAGAGGGTTGCTGGAAGATGTGTTTGACAGGGAGCGTAGGACTTGACTTGTTGAATACTTGAAGGGACATTCGATAAGTCTACAGAGTCAGCTAGTCTCTGTGGTTCTGGTGGTTTCTGACCAGACTCGAATACGCTATAGGCTGAACTTCGAGAACCGCTAACTGGGGGCCGAAGACTGGTTCTGAACTTGAAAGGACTGTTTCAGTAAGGTCGTAGCAGCAATAAATCATAAAGCACGTTCAGCTTGACCCACAAACAGTGATATACAACGTTTCATGACAGCGATACTAGAAGATTATTCGATAACTGGGCTGGATATAGTGGGCACTGCTTTTAAAAGCTTTGATAAATTGATAATTTTTTTTTCAAATTGAAAAGGGTTACTCGACAAAAAATTGTCTCTCTTTACTATTTAAAAGCTAAGTGTCTTATGAAGTTCGATAACAAAATTGCTAAGTACTGCATACGCACACATTTGAACAAACAGACATGAAGGCTAAATAAAAAAGGTGCTGGAAGATTTCTGAGAGGAAATGCATTTAACACTTTGTTTTTACTTTCTATCTGATCTAAGTCAGAGATTGATTAGTTTGGTGGGAGAAGGAACAAGAAGATACGATTACTGCCACAGGATGTTGATTGACCTGATGTTTCGGAATCTTACTCAACCCCCTCATCAGAAATAGTCGTTAATTATGAGTCTAGCTGAGAATCCGAAAGGTCGGGCAAGCAAAATTCTTTTTCCGGCGATCGCGTCTTCATTTTCTTTTGAAGTGCCTCCTGAAACGTGCCCACTAGCTTTTATCGGCATACATTTACTTGATCCGAAAAAGCACTTTGGTTTGATAAAAATGGATTAAACATTAAGGGTTTCGTTAAAAAGAGAATAGTGTAGGCAGTGACCAATAAAAATTCTTGCTTGCAGACCCCTTTTCGCTATGTGCCTAGCAATGTGAGCTCTTTATCCTGTGCTCTAAGTCAAACCGACCGCACTGGGGCTCCGTTTTGACAACTAAGTTGAAACTATAGCCTGCAAAATACCCGCTAATACTTGCTAAAAGCGACAGAATTGCGTCACCGAAAACTGGTCGAATGCATCAGAATACGGAGAGAATGGGTTTTTGCATGTTTTCTTCATGATGTACTTGAATTTATAAGAAGGCCAAAAATCAATGCTAAAATGCATACTACTTAAGCAGACACTTTTAGCTGAATATGGTTTTTGCGGGCAGCTGGAAAGAAGCTCGCTCTCATCTGATGTAACTGTTTTTGAATGTTACCGTGCAGTAGCCTTTATTACCACCTTAGTTTTCGAGTCGAAAACATCCTTCAAAATTTCGGCCGACATTTCATCAGAGCACACATCTACCGTATTTTCATATGAGCGGAGCATTTCAGAGCGCTAAAATGTTTTCTTTTGCTTTTGGATAAGAATCGCTCGCTTTTTCAAAATACTGACATGCATACTTATCAACGGGTTCGTGGCTCGCGTTAGATTTTGTTATGACCCGCGCCTGGTACTTGTAATTGAGAAGAACTGCGGGCTTGCCCGATCGTTGTTCCCAAAGTCAGCACGATAGAGATGAAAAGAGGGCAATCGAACACGAACAGAGCTATATTAGAAAAACTAAGTCACTATCACAAAGGGCTGTGTATATTGATTGATCCGCTTGACGGAAATTGTTGGCGACATGGACCAATCAGATCTGGCGAGAAATCGATAGCCGCGGTGCACGCTCTCATGACAGCAGTCTGGCAGCTCACCTAGGCTCCTTTCTGTACGTTGAATAATCGTGGTAATGGAGAAATCCCAGCAGATTTAATTACGCAATTCCTGAAAATCTGGGATTCGACGTCTAACACGCCAGAGTTGGCCAGCCCCGTTCTAGGCAGAGATTATTACCATCAAAGACAAGGGAGACTGGAATGGCTATTTCTGGCTTAGTAGCCGTCGTCAGCCAGTCATACCTCAACCCCAAGTGATGCAGCACCCGGGGTTCGAATTCGCGACCTTTCCGATCAAAGTCTAGCGGTGTAAACATTGAGTCACGAGTTCGTTGTTATGCCGGTTTAGGTCGGGAAATATTGACACTTGTTGATGACCGTTCCGGGCTCCCTTGTCTTTGTCGGCAATGCTTTGTGCCTAAGACTACTAGCTACTACAACTGCTGTCAGGGCTCCAGAAATGAGACCCAATAAAGGGGGAGACAAGTGAGTTCCGTTAGCGGTCAGTGAACGTTCATCGAGTGTCATCCCCTTTTTCTTGTCATTATTGGTACGTTTCCATCTGCGCAGAGCCAGATCAAGCTAACCAGGCCTTCTACGTGTGCCGCACGGGACCTGGTCCTTAATGCATATGATAAATTATTGCAGGGGAGGATTGGATCCCACTTAGGTGAGAATTTCACAGA